TCTGTTGTCAGACATTTTAAACTCAGTGTGGACTCGACTCGACTCTTTTCATGAGCTTCTGTCTGTATCTCATGAATCCTTTGTCTCTTGTGAGCAAAACGACCGACAGACCGACAAATCCAACGAAAGACAAGAACCTTGAGTTTGAGCTTCTAAAACGGATCCTGAACACGGCTCATTGTTCAGGTTGTGTATCTGAACATATGCCAGTTGTTTTCTTTTCTACCACAGCAGAGATGATCTACATGTTAGAGCTGTTCACGTACTTTGCTTCACGTTTTAATGATCCCTCCCCACGCCGTGTGTGAACAGAGCTACTGCTGTGTAGCACCTTTTGCTACGACGCCATTGTTTCCAAAATAGGTGCGATTACACAGTCGGTGGATTTTTACCTGAAAAGTTGATGTGATTTTGTGCCGCTCTAATCGTGGGCGAGCGTGCACGTGTGTTGAACGCAGGCCGATGCATGTCGTGCACCAGGTCTCTGCGTCCATGCATGCACAGTCACTGTTTGCACACAAACATGTAGGTGTGTGTCAGACAGAGGTCTACAGTGTCACATGAATAATTCAGCGCAGCGCTGGTTGAAGACAGGCCCGGGGGCTATCAGGTTACAGGAAGTAGGTTGGGTACATCCACAACAGCCCAAGGAACAGCCAGAAGCCATTTACTACTGTACTTTGCCCATGCGGTCATTTAACATCTATGCATTACCGCTATTGATTGACATAAAAGCCGGACAAATTCAGCTAAACCGTAATTAGCCAGAGACCGTGACCCGGCACGTGATCGGAGGGAGGCGTTACAAAGGAGCTGAACGACAGATTAGAGTCTGTCTGGAGGGATCAAGTCCACGAGGACGGAGAGGAAGTGACTGTCGCTCGCTGCAGCAGTTTGCCGATAATCTGCACCTTCAGTAAAAACACACCGCGAGCTTCACAAAGCATCCGCAAAGCACTTCCACTCGATTTCACTGCATTCAGCTCACTGTTCACACGCTGACGTAACGCTCGCTGGAAGACGCTGCTTTGTTGCCCAGACGACTGCGGCCTCGTCGACACTCAGCAGATCGCTAAATTTCAGCGGCTAGTCCGTGAAATTTGCGCCTCGGGCTGTCGCTTGCTTGTCAGGGCTGCTGCAGGCTAAAGAGTTGGATTTAAGCTGCAGTTGGCCCTCTTCTTTACTCCTGTGCACTTAATCGAGTCCGGCTTGCGCACACACACACACACACACACACACACACGCCAGCATATGTGGATGCAGGATGTTTCAGAAAAGGGACGACTCTGAAAATGGAATGCACAGCTCCAGATTTAGTTTAGGCCAAATCTCCTCTCCAAATCTCCCGTGAAAACCCTGCTGAGATTAGGCAGAGAGCAGCACTTTAAGCAGCCCTGACAGATGGACTGCCTAATTTACTTTGCCATTAGCTGGGAGCAAAGGCACAACACTCCCCAGCCCCACCCCGCCTCACCCACTACCCGGCAACCCGTTTCCCCTCCACCACATCCCGGTCTGCTCTCAGCAAATCTTCCACTCGTCTCTCCACTCCGCCAGTTTCGTAGCGCTCGGCGAGCATCCAGTAAATCCCATTCCTCTGCCACGAGGATACCAGGGACCGCCTCAGCTCACGTCCAACTGTGCCTCGCATACAGTTATTCTCCAATTTCCCGCCGGGCCCGCTAATAGAGGCTGGCAAGAAGAAACGCTCACTTCTTTCCCTTCCTGTCTCCGTCAACTGCTGCTGGAAATTAGTTGCAGAATTAGAGGGAAAATTGGATCTCACCTCTCTGGGAACATTTTAGGAGGTGCTAAATGAAAGAGAGCAGCACACGTTTTGTTGCTCGCTCTAATTATGAGCATCCCAAATTGCCTGATCTGCGTGGAAGTATAATTATACTGCATGTCAGCCTTCCTCTTATCGCTTTTTGGCCAAAAGGACGTCAGCTGTCCCCAGAACATTTGCACTGTGAGGTTATGGACATCTTGAGCATGGTATAGTCTACCTACCACTTTGTCTGAACCTTCGTCAGGTTGTTTTTCTATTAGTTATACGTATGTTAGCCCAAACTAGGTTTGTTAGGAACGACACAAAACCATTTCTTTTACTGAAGTTACATTTTAAAGTTGCATTTTTACCTTTTTCAAAACATCTTGTTAATGGTTTTGAGGCAGAATATCCCAGTAAGTGAGACACTTTGAATCAACAAGCTAACTTTATTAATACTAGTAAATGTCGTATGCAATGTTGTTTATACATTAGGCTGCAAGGTGGAGCGGTGGTTAGCATCGTTGCCTCACAGCTAGAAGGTCGCCGGTTCGCGTCCCGGCGAGGACACCCGGGATCTCCATGTTCTCCCCGTGCAGCGTGGGTTCTCTCCGGGTTCTCCGGCTTCCTCCCACAGTCCAGAAACATGTTGAGGTTAATTGGTGATTGTAAATTGTCCATAGGTGTGAATGTGAGTGTGCTTGGTTGTCTGTCTCTAAGTGTAGCCCTGTGATAGACTGGTGACCGGTGTGTAGATGGATGGATTTCAACCTGTATGAAAGGATGAAACCCATAACTCTGAATCCTCAGAGGTGCAGGCCGTCTAGTAAAGAGAAGTTTTGTGTCTTCTGACTTCTGCCAAGTCTGAAGGAAACTTTGGTTCTGTTCTGTATAATTTTCAAGTGCATGGAGGTGACGTGTGCTGTGAATTGGTGCTACATAAAACCAAGTCAAATCAAACTGGAATTGATTTGAACGCAGCCAGAGCTCGCTTTGGACTCGCGGGTTTTCCAGCTTCCACTCCTTGTGTGAAGAAGACGAGGCCGGCTGCTGGTCGCTTCATGTTCAGCGTTCAGAGTTTTATTCATCGTCTCAACTGCCTCCTGGCAAGAATCCCCCAAAATGTTGACGATCCATTCCTTTGCATTTAAAAAGACCGTTTGGTTTTCCTGTGAACGTTCTAGACTCCTACATTGGATGCAGGTTCTGTCGATCCATCGTTAGCATGACGAACTGCATAAATCACGCTGTAAGAAAGCAGCAAGCTTTGGATGTGGAGGGTTGCAGAGGACACATGAAGATGCTGCCAACGCTTGTCCAGATAAACATCTAGTGAGAAAGTCCCGCTGCAGATATCAGATCAAGTGTTTTCGGGTGATGTTCGGGATGAGCTACGTTTTTCTGGAAACCGCTGTGATGAAAACTACGACTCATTACAAAATGCTGGACCTTCTGTAATGTTTGATTTTGAAACACTGCTGGATCTGACTACATTCCTCCATTTGTTTGTGGCTCTACACAGATAAACCAGCGTCCTATTGACACCGGTATGTTTGCGTCTTTTAACAGCCAGAATGATGTCGTTTATGGAGGAACGGCGTCTTTTTGTCGCGCAGCAAAAGCTCACGGTCGTGTTTTGTCCCCGTCGCTGTCTGTTATTGTCGTTCACGCCAAAGAAGTGTCAACTAGTACAAAAATTAAAGAGAAAACAAGATGCAAAAAAACAACACACGAGGGATAATCGCTTCACGCAGGCATAATAAATTTCACCTCTAAAATCGTCCCGTTTTCAAGGATGAAATGAGCTGTGCTTTTGTGCATGTATGGATTTCACTGAGCATTTTATTCCGCCTTAGCATCGCAACAATAGGAGCACAAACTCTGAGCATATCAACTGACACGGCTATTGAATGCAATATCTTTATTTGTCCAATTTCACCATGTGTCCTTGGGAAATGAAACAGTGGCTGAAGCTCTGTGTGGAGCATAGAAACGGAATATTTTCATACATCGTATCATCCATTCATAAACAAACTGTAAGATCTTAAAAGACCACAAAAGCTCGTGCATCGCCAAGGTTCCAATTTTCTGTTCGCTATTATTCTGTTTTTCTATGTAACTGCTTCATGGAGGTTTCATTTAACAACCTTCTTTAATACACATTTGAGTCCTGAGATTGGGCGCCGGAGCTGTTTGGCTCTTTTAATTCAGGAAGAACAGTTCTGACCTCAGTACTACAGACTACTGCACAGCTCTGGTCCAGGGGCGTCCTGATGGTATCCAACCAACAACCAGAGGCACAATTAAGACCAACTAAAACACATGAACTTGTCAGGTTTGATGCTGCTGTTGATAATTAAGTTTCGATTTCGACTTTTTGTGAACAAGATGTTCCTGATATGTCCTGAACTGAACTGAAGCGTTGCACTAATACATGTATGATCGCAAGTTAGACAGCGTGCGAGGATCTGTTTTGGAGTGTCAGATTGTATTGTTTCATCCATTTTACTTGTGTTTTAGTTTCTAATCTGTCCGGATGATGTTACGAGCCTCTTGTTGCTGTTGCAGGTCTGCGTCATGGCCTCGGTCAGCTGACCTTCAGCGACGGGACGTGCTACACCGGACAGTTTGAGAACGGCCTCTTCAACGGCTGTGGGGTGCTGGTCTTCCCTGATGGCTCCAGGTTTGTG